CCTCTCTGCCCAAGTGAGAGGAATCTTATCTTTCTATATTAATAACAAGTGAATGTTCTCTTTGACTTACTGACACTTATCAATGGGCAAAGTATGCTGGGTTTGGGCCCCAAACATCTATGGGATTATCACATCTATTTCTGGAATGACTCAATGAGTAAAATATGTTCCTGTCCCACAGGTAACAAAATCTCAGGTTCCTTATTTTGAAGTTAGAACAACAGCAAACTATAATGATGACTTGCTAAATGGTGATGCATTTATTCTCTGCTAGAAATAGTTTTCCTTTACCTATAAAATATATAAAGCTTAAAGCTGCCTAAAGAATGAACAATTAGCATAGATTTACTGAAGTTTTCACTTCCTTTTCTGTTCTCTCTTACCATGCACCCCATAATACTCTTATTGTAATTATTCTTTAGATATAATTCCTGAGAACTGCATGTTTATCATCCTAGGCTTTTATTTAAGCATTTGTAAGTAAACTTCACCAGCATGTTACAACACAATGTTACCAGCACAATGTCTAGCAGTAAGGCTTTTATATAAACATTCATGCCTAAACTACTTGCCTGGCATGCATAAAGTACTGGATTCAGTCTCCAACACAGCATACAGGCATGGTGACACATGTCTATAATCTCAGCACTTGGAAGGAGGAAGGAGGAAGATCAGGAGTTCAAGAAAATCCTTAACAATATAGCAAGTTTGAAGCCTGTCTGGGCTACATAAGACCCTGTTTCAAAAGCAGGGAGATGGCTCAAACAGTCAATAGGTAAAGGCCCTTGCTGCCAAGTCTGTTGATCTGTAGGACCTACATGGTGGAAAGAGAAAACTGACACCCTCAAGCTGTCATCAGACCTACACACACACACACACACGCACACACACACACATGCACACACACACACACACCATAGCATGAGTGTGCCCACAGAGATGCACGTGCATGGGCACACATAGGCAAATTAATAATAAATGCAATTTAAAAATTAAAAAAGCAAAGAAAACAAAAAGAAGCACATTAACATGAAAACTCAGTGCAAAGTTCTGTGTTTTGCCCCTTCACCTTGTGTTTTCATGTCTAATATTTTTCACATGAGCCATAAGATCCTGTAGTAACTCCAATTATGACTCATGTGAGTGAGCCAGTAGATGAACGATCAGATTCTGACCTGCTAGGTCGAGGCCTGTTGTCATGCAGGCACATGGTCACGAGAACATCATGTCATGTTGTCATGTACTCATGTGTCACATAGCCATTGTGTCATGTGGTCACACAGTATGTGGCATGTGACAGTATTGTACCAGGTGCTTGGGTGAGTGATACCTGGTCCCTAGGTCAAGGCAAAGGCTTTGCTTATTTGTGAGGCTCTGACAGACTCACAGCTGGAGTCTGCAGAAGTCTCTCGCTCCTGACCTTCATGTCCAGGAGCTGTCAGTCTGGGACAATAACTTGCTGTGAAACAAGACAGAGAATCCTCTCATCAGCAATATCCGGCCTTCCCTCCTGTCTGGTCATCACACCCAAGCTGGAGGGAGAGGAGGAGGGCAGGAAAAGAAGCTAGTTAGTGCCATTGCTAGAGCAGCCCGACATCTGGCCTTGGTCACCCAGGACCCACAATCCCAGTTCTCCATTCCTCAACCTGCCATCCATTCTGTGTCTGCCCCACTCCTCAGGGGCAGCTTGCTCAGGGTGGCATGTTCCCACTGTGGCCTGAAGAACCAGCAGGTGTTTTTCCTACTCACATCTGGATTTAGAAAAGCCACAGGTATAGAGAGTTCCTGTTGGTGAATTTGAAGTTGGCCTTGCCAGGAGTTCTGCCCTTGGGGGCTGCATCTGAGTCAGCAGCCACCTACAGGGGTTCTGTGCATATGGGGGTTCTTCCTCATGGGGCTCCAGGAGGTGGAGCACCCTTATCTCTCACATCCCTTTGGCCACCACCATCTGCACCCTCACCCCATGTAGGCTCTGCATCTGAGAGAGGGCAGATGTCAAGGTTTCTTGCCTGACAAAGCAAGGAGAGACTCTGATTGTTGCTTCCCACACAAAGTTGAAACTTCCTCTGTTAAAATTTGTGGATGCATTTAAACTTCCCTCCTTAGATAGATGCCGTCTCCACAGAGATAGCTCCATATTTCCTGTGAGATTAAAATAAAGTGCTTGCCATATGCCGAAGAACAGTGGGTTTGGCTCCGACTGCTCATGCTCTGAGCCTTTGGGAGTAAGTGGATTCTCACAGGGCCCCATCTGGTGCAGGTATAGATGGAATACATGAAATCATGGGCAGGTTTCTCAATCTGTGTTAATTGGCATAAATTAGTAGAGTTGTCCCCGAATTTAAATTGGTGTGGTAATGATGATGAATCGACAGTGTATCCAGTTCAATTCTCATTACTTTGTGCATATTTAAAAATAGATGTTCCTCAGGGAAGAATGATCACAGGTCACATCCCATCATGCTGAATTCCATGGGGGCACTGTTCATTGTCATGAAATCTTGTGGGCTTGAGGAAGAGGCCGAGATTTGAGGGCCAGAGGACAGGAGGCAAGACTGAATCCTCTTTCTTGAGAACTCTGGCTAGTGAGTCACAACCTGATATTTAATGAGCCCAGATTCAGTGCTGGCTGCCACGTACTGTGCAACATGAGTCTCATTCCATTTTATCCCCACAGCATCTCAGTGCCATGCATGCACTACATACATTGCATGTACCACTGTCTCTACTAGCAGCTCATCCACCCTTTCAGATGAGGGGCAGATGAATAGCCAAAGCTCCAAAGGGTCAACAAGAATTGACATTACCCCTGCCATATGTCCTTCCTCTCCCCAGGAGCCTGCGCTCCTCACCACACAGCCATGCTGGTCTCCCTCTGCATATCCATGGCTAAACTGAGACATCTTGTCATTTTAAACTATTTTCCTACCACTGGCCCCCGGCTTCACCCTATGCTGGCTGAACCTCACAGGTGGTAGCATGAGTAAAGTCCTGTCCTATAATCCCAGCATGTACTAACAGGCACCCACCTTCTAGGAGAAAAGACCCCCAAAGGCCTTCATTTGCACCCCAGCTTTCCATGCAGCCCATCCCTCCATTACAGGAACATCTACATCTCTCCATCTCTAAACATTCACTCTTTCCTACATCTCCCCAGTCATCCTAACTCAGTAGTCAGATTTATGTCTCTGTAACAAAATACTCAAAATAATCAGCTGATGAGAGTGCTGGTTTCAGAGCTTTCAGTCTGTGGTCTTGGGCATTGTTGCCTTGGACCTGTGTCAGCACAGCGCATCGTGTTGGAAGCACAGGGCGGAAGAGGTTGCTGTCTTCAAGATGGCCAGGAAGCAAGCAGAGGAACGGGCCAGAGTCACAACTCCCTAGACTTGTTCCAGGGATGTTAATATGCTGCTGGCACAGCCGGTACCTCTGTTCCAGAGGCTTTTGAGTGATCTTTGGTTTGCAGGTTTGAATTCACTGAAAGCATCATGAGTGTGCTGTAACTGTGTCAGCAGTGGTGAGATAAAATCTCCAGAGAAGAATCCTAACCATAGGTCAGTGCTGACATGGATTCTAGGCGTTGTTCTTCATGACAGAGCCAGAGCTGTGTTCACAGCCCAGTAAAGTAGTAACAGTTTACTTCGGGCCCATAGGGCAGGGAGTAGGGTGGTTGTTGCTGAGGGTGGAGCTGGGTATTGCTATCCAGAGCATGAGGCCCTAGTTCCCATGGTGGGTACCTTGGGGTTCAGTACCACTGTGTCCCTGAGACTTGGGGCTCAGCATGCTGTTATCCTAACTCAGGTTGTTGAGCTTGCACAGCAAACATTTCACTCACTGATCCATCTCCCCAGTCCAGCACAGACTCTTTCAGTAGCACTGGTGACTTTTGGGATGAATGAGACAGAGCTACAGCCCAAGACAGCTCTTAGCATCTAAATTCTGAGGTGGATGTTCAGGTCACATGTTCCTGCTGAAAGTGGTTGTATCTGTGACTCTTGGCTTCTCATGTGGGACCTCCTGCTGGCTGCCTCAGGGCAAAGGAAGCATTATCCCTTGGAGGAGCACCAAGTAGTATGGACCTCTCCATGTGGGTTTCAGCTTCATTTCAAGTAGGCGTTGCTGGTTCTTCTGCACCCTACTATGTGTTTCTGCATGCAGGCAGAGGTCACCATGACTATGCACCCCCATAGGTATGTCTGGGTGATAAAGGGGTTACCATGCCTGTGCATCCCAGGGAATGCCTGGGGGCACCTAGATGCCCATTATGCCTTATGTACCCTGGAGTCAGCCACCTTGGAAACTCAAGTGCAGCTGACTCTAACCTCCTCCTGCTCCCCAGGGAGTTGCTTGGCTTTCCCATGACCTAGAGTTTGGGGAAGGGGTGGTATGTGTGTTTCTGGTTAATTCTGGACTATGAGGACTAGTTGAAGTCTTTCTGTGCATTAGGATCTACAGCTTGGCTGCTATGGTTCCCTTTGTGTTATGTGCTACAGATGCCATGCCAAGAATCTGTGTATTCCGCAGAGCCAAATGCAGAACCGTGGGTGAATTTATGGGGAACATAATCTGTATTTGTAGATGTTGTGTCTTTACTGAGATATGATATACTTGTAATTTCTGTGCCTGAAAGGAGTTATATCCTAGTTGTAGTCAATGTAAAGCTTCAATTATCTTAACGTTTTAAAGGTTTAACTATTGAAATTAAATGATAAATATACCATCCATATTTCATCTAAGTAACTTGAATGTTGAGCCATGTACAATTATGAAAAAGTATTTGATGGGTGCCTATGCATATGACAAAGATTGTTATTTTAATAAAGTGTAATATGCTTTGCATTTGAGAGTGAGCATTTTAGATAAAATTCAACTGAACTGTAAGATCAGAGTGGTTGTATGCTAAGGCCTTTAGGGCCCTGGGCAGTAGAGCTGCAGCTATGTGTGGCTGTGTTCATAAGCAGTCTGTGGTGGTGGCTAACTCTCTTCTCTTCTTTCCACAGAGTCTCAGTGCACCCTCTGTGGGGAGCCAGAAGGTAAGTACCCCAAATCCCTCACCTCTGTTTGAGTGGGTGGAGCATCATGGTGCCTCATGGTTTGAATTAATGGTGACAAACTGCTTCGAAGGATGCTTTAGACAGTGTTGGTTGAAAGCATACTCTTTGTGGTGTTTGACTGTGAATGGGAATGAAATAAAGCGGAGCACATAAGTGTTAGGCATGCGTTCTTCTCTAATGAGAAATCGACATGAAGACCTTTTGTGGTATATTTGTTTTCTTCTGGTTCTTACAAATTTTAGCTGGTTTTCTCTAGATAAGAGATGTCAGTATGGATTTGCTGATGTTAAATATGTTACCCAAACTTCTGATGAAGCTCACACTAAATAAGGCTTGATGAAACTTTTCCTAACTGCTGTTGGCACCCAAGGGGGTACACAAAAAACCTACTGACTACCAGTGAGAGCAAGCAGCCCACCCTAACTAAAGTTTCAGCCCAGTTCCAAAGCTGAGATTATTGAGAGTGGAACAACTGGGCTGATGTTCTGTTAACTTTGTTCCAAAATAGTGAAAGCAAGTTATACAGTGTTTTTCCGTGATGTGTGAGGAAGAATAAAGAAAATGTGATAAACGTCTTTCCCGTACGCATAGGGACCCCTGAGGCTGGGATTTGATTTTCCAGTGTTTTAAAGAGGCATATCGGCAACAAAACTAGAAACTAGGGGTCCTTGGGGCTCTGAGAGACAGATCCGTCCAGGAACTGCCTCAGGGTCCGAGTCCAGTCCCTCTGCTCCCTCAGTGTCAGAGCTTCCCAGTGCTGCTCCAGGAGCCTGGCTGAGAATGAGTTTAGTGCCTCGTACATGAGTAGGACAGAGGCACCTGCAGAATAGCAAGTACAAAGCTAGCATGAAAGTTCTACCCAGCAAAGTTTTCTGAATTATTGTGTCACTAAGAATATAACACAGATTTATCTCTGAAGTCTGATAAGTTATGTAAGCCTCTGCCCGCTGATCTTTCCAGGACTATAAGAAAAGTGTGTCTGAGTGGGGACGTGAATGCTGGTCTCCTTCAAAGGAACAGTCCTATGCCCTCTGGATGCTCTGAAGCTCTCCAGCCTGTCTTAGTTCTCACAGAATTGAGAGTTTTATTATTTCTTACCGTAATAGCTTTTCTGTATCATTCCCAGCTTTGAAATGGTCACTGTGCTTTGACTTTGCTGTCCAGTGTCTTTTTACCCTTCCTATCCCCTCACTGAAAGTTGTAGAGTGCTGTGCATACTAAAAGTTATGAAGTAAACACTGTGTATAGTAGCTTAAATAAATCCAAGTGCTTTTGGACTGCCTGTTCTAATACAGGACTGCTTTCTGCTGCAGACTGTATTTGGTGTGCTGCTGTATGCTGTTCTCAAGGGCACATTCTGGTTCAGAACAACAACAACAAACCCCACATGGTTTAGGTATGGGTTTTGGACCTATTTATGACTAACACATATGACTAACACATTACCTGCTGAGTGTTCACCAAGAATGAGTATAAATTCCTTTCTGTGAACTTCCTAGACAGTGATATTATGACTAGGAAGGAACCAGGATTCTGGATTGTGAAAAGTGGGTGCCCCACACAAGTTTTGCAGCTCCAGCACCCTTAGATGTTAGACCAGTACTCCCTGTCCTAGACACTCTGGGGTGCTATCCCATGCCTGTCCTTGTTTAACTTCCACATCATAAATTTTGTCAGCACACACCAAATGTGTATTGTTCCAGAAGATGGATCAGCTTGTAGGTATTTAAGATGAGCCAGGCTATGCCTCATCTAAGAATAATCCCAGCTGTCTAAGCAGAGGAGACTTGAGGTTAGGACAGGGTCCTAGTCTGTGGCTGGGTGTGTCTGGCTGCTTTTGCCTTCCTGGTTCCAGGTAGGACTCATTCTTGATTCAGATATGCAAGTGGAACTGCTCCAAACAAGAGGAAAGGAGGAGAGGCTGCTGCCAGGCTCAGCTGCGTTTTATTTTTCAGAAGCACTAGCATCTGAATATTCATACGTTTTTAAATCATTTAAGTAATTAGTCTAAGTGAGAGCTGGCCGTGTGCAGTGAGTAGAATCTGGAATCAGCTTTTTGGTTCAGTAATTTCTTCAGCAGTGTGTATGCATTAACTCATAAACACCACTGCACAGAAGGGATTAGAGCCAGAGGATTCTGCAGAGCAAGGCTCAGAGCTGGGCAGGCCTCCCTCACAGGGCCATGTTGAGGGTTAGCTGCTGCAGCTTCCCCTCCAGTCAGAAAACCCTTAACAGCCTTTCCTAGCTAACCAGTGAAGTGGGAAACACCTATTTGCATTTTAATGGTTAGCTCTTTTAGAGAAGGCTGCTTCTTTGGATAGGGATGGAATAATTAGCATCATCTCAGAAGATAATATCTGTCAAACAAATGAGACTAGGAGCAAAGTTTACTGAGGGCCTCAAAATTCTACAGCTGTGAGTCCCTATAACAAGGAGGCTAATTTTTCAGAGAGCCAAAAGTTTTAATCTTATATAAAATGTAGATTGTTGCCTCAATATGCAAATTGCCTACATGGTCTATATTGTAAGGTTCTGAAACTTGTAGGTCTGTGTATTTAATGAGGTGGAAATGTAGGGATTTATTATTTGTCAGCCTCTTTCTTCCTAGAAAGAACAGAGAGATGGCTTAGCTGTCAATCTTCAAAGTACAGAACCTCCTGAGTGCAGGACAACTTGGTTGTCCCTGGATCCTCTGTTGTTCCCAGGGAGGTGGTCCCACACACAGTCCTCTCCCAAAGGAGTAAGTGTACTAGGAACAATCTCGGTTGTTAAAATAACTTGCCAGCCTAATGCTCAGACCATCTCAGCTGCATCAGTTTCCTGTTGCCTTTTAGAGTGCGTGTTAGTTCATCTTGACATAGCAAGAATTCCTATGTGACACAATCTGTCAATTTAATATAAGAGAATGTTAAGAATATGTCAACCTTTTCAAACTTATTGGCAGGTATGTAATATCTTTTGCTTTTTAACAAGAACACAGTAAAAAATATGGACACTGGGCAGAGCTGCAAGAGCCAGTTCATGGATTTGTCTATCTATTAACAGTTTATGACTTGATAGGGGAAGCTAGATAGTGATGGCTGGCAGGGAGTTCAGAGAGTTTATCAGGACCACTGTGGTGCGCTAGCAATTCCTTATGCCTATTCCATGTCACCCAATTAAAATGGAGAAAAAAACTGTTATGAAGTGAATTTGCATGCAGAAATATTCCACAGAAGCACCAGCTTGCATTTAGCATGAGGTACTCTCCAGCAAAAGTCCTTGAGAATAAAACTTAAAGACACAGTGACCAGCTGTGGTCATGTAAGAATACATTTAGGAAATGTTGTTTGTAGGAATTCTAGCCCCTATATGAAATAATCTCTAAAACCACATGGAAAGCAATTTTCTTTCTGATTTTATTGTTGTTGCTGTTATTCTTATTATTATTAATTATTATTTTGATGGTAAAAACACACAAAACTGAAAGTTGCTTTTGAAAATTTTGTCTAGACATAGAGACTCTTTTATTTCAGAGAGAAACAAAAGTAGTTTTTCTCCCTTCATAATGCATGATTAAAAAGTAATGTACTTAGGAGTATTATGCTCTTGATTTTTTAATACAAGAAATTCACAGTTTTACCCACAAATGATTCTGAACAATGAAAAATCTCCTTGCTATTCCTTACCCTTACTAAATGCATGTCATCCTGGAATTTCAAGACTTCTAACTAGTGAGGGTTAATGAGACAGGTCCTTTCTGAAAAATGAACAGAAATATTTCTGTCCCACCCACAGTTCATCCTAGTCTTATCTCTTTAGAGAAAAGGGTGTGATTGCTGTGCTCTCTCTTGAAGGGCCTGTCTTTTAAACCTGTGCTTTGGATGACAGTGGCCTTCCCTGACTGCTGATCTTGGGTAGTGAGTGAAAGATAACTAGCTTTTACTAAGTTCTCACCATGAGCCAGGTACTCAGAAACAGTGTTGCCTAGGAACTGAGGCCTCATCCAGCCAGCCAGGAGCTTGGAAATGTCTGTGGTTTAGAGCAAAACTGGCAGAATCTGCTGGGGCACTAAAGGACACTGTTCGTTATAAAAGTTTTTAAAGAAGATTGGGAAGAGGGAAGCCCAAGTTGATACAGAAGCTCTCTATTTCCAGTGGAAGCCCAGAACAACGCTGTGGAGCACCCAGCAGAATACCTACAATGCAATATAGAGAAAGGAAGAAAGAGAGAAGGGGAAGGGAGAGAAGGAGGGAGACAGGGAGTGAGGGAAACAAGGAAAGAGGGAGGGAATGAAAGGCCCTAGGCCAGATGCAGTCCTGACACCTGAGCAGATATGAGCATGCCCTGGGCCTTATAAAACTGGGTAGTAGAGACATGGGAACTGAGCCCCTCAAAGTCAACCCAGACATTCAGAAGTTCTCCCACCTTGAGAAACACTGGCCTAGACCAGATAGAATGTTCATCAAATACCTGAGACCATTGGTAGACCATATTACCCACTATAAATGCATGCTCTGTACGTGGACACAGCTCTGACTCTCCCACAGAGGCATGGGGTAAAATTCAGGTGAAAACTGTTATGGACCTGTCAGGACGCAAGTGCTCTTATGGATCAAACCACAAGTGATCTTTACAGAATCTCTGATAAAGAGGGGTCAAGGGCCCCTCACACAAATAAACAGTTCTCACATTACGGTGAGCAGAGCAGAGAGCATTGTGACCCAGTAAAGTCTAGGAGAGTGAAGAGAGCACCAAAGAGAACCAGAGCACTAGGAACAACAGACATGCCCAAGTATTGCATGTGCTTTAAATGATTGCATGAGCTTTCAAAGGAAGGGGAACATAATGTAAGAAACAATGAGTATGCAAATGATTAAAACAAAATAGTGAGAAATGAGATGGGTCACTTAACTTGACTACCAGTGGGTGCAACAAAAAGTATAGTAGGTGGAGCTGAAGGGAGAATTGTCAAACTAGAAAACAGGTATTTTCTAATG